ACAGCTGGGATACAGAACTCTTATTTTTAAGTTGTTGAGAACATATGATGTAAAACTAATGTTGAGCCTAAAGCAATGCATATGCCACCTTTTTCAGTTACTTGTTGCAGGTCCTGTTGTGTAAGCAGAGTGCAAAAGAAGGTTATTCGAGCAGATCTGTCTTTTTTTGACAGCTCCGTACTGTATGTTCTACACTGCTGAAAGGCAAAGCTGCCTCCTTGCCGGACAGATGGAATTCTTCAGTGGGTCCTTAGTCACTGTAATCAAACTTTAATTCAATGGTCTAGGAAGGGGGCATCGCAGAAATGACTGCTAGTTTGAAAAGGTCAACAGCAATTTCACCTCGGCAATAACCAGGATCCTGAGTAGAGAGAAAATCAGCACAGACTTATTGCACAGAATCCTGGTTGTTAAAACATGTAAGAAACAAGATCAGAAAAGCTCTGTTTCCTGACAGGGCTGTAGGAAAAGATGCTTAGTACAGAAATAGAAACTTTACAAGAACAAAATCTATGCAGGGGTCTCGCATTACTTTTCTTGTAAACCAAAAGCATCTGGAATATCGACTGTGCCTTATAAATTCATATGGTTTTAATTATAGAATAAGACTGTTACTTATTTTGTTTAAAAATTGGTTCAATTTAAAAGCCATCCTTTGTGACTAAACAAATATTATACCCACTCATGCCATGGAAGGCATCAGGTCAGTATGGGGTCAAGGAACAATATACAGTAAATACCGGGATGGAATACCAATTGCTTCAGCGAAAAATATCGTTGGATTAGGCGTTGAGGTATCTGAGGTCAAATGCAGCTGACCAAATAACACCAAACCGAGTGTTATTTACATAGTCTGCTTTCTGTAGTATTGTTATATTTGCTATTCATCAACCAAACTTTGCCCTGATAAATAAGATCTAGAAAAGGGCAGCTTCAGTCCATGACAGCAGCTGCTACAGTACTGTATGTGGCAATTTTTCATTCTATCATTAATTTTAATTATTTCATTGAAGTACTTATTAAGATAAATTGATTTTCATTGGTATTATTTTTCAGTCTAATCAGGTGCTAATTGACAAGTATAGTTACTAATCCAGAGAGCAGGAATTGCCCATCTCTGCTCCACAGTGAAGGCACACAAAGAGCAAGTTACATCTTATATTAGTCCCATTAAACCTGAAAGGCTTGCAATGCAAAAGGACAGAAACTTACTCACAGGCATTATTGTGTGATATGAAGAGCCTGGTAAAAGAAGTCTGTACATCAGAGACTAGTGGGTTGTTTGCATGCAAAGTTATAATAGAATTTTGCCCAGGCATTTGGCGCGAGATCACAAACTCGGTCAGTACGTTAGCATGTGAAAAGGGGAGATGAGATCATAGTTTTTGATAAAAGCATGGTATTGTTTAATAATTATGTGCAGTATTTTGCTAGCTGTTCTGATCTTCAGCAAATTCCCAAATGTCTCAGGCTATTCTCAAGATTGGTCATTTGTCCAGTAGCTTGATGAGTTTTCGTTAGGTGCAGGATGCAAATGTGTCAATGATATACAATCTTATCTGTTTTCCAGTTTTTCCAGTACTTTTTTAACTTTTTTTTTTTTGGTTGAAGACTCTTAAATGATATTTTCATCATAACTATTAAAAATGTTGTAGTTTTGAGTATGCACATACTGTAGGAGCAGATTTATGGCATTCTCAGATCTCTTGAATGCTAGAATGTAATCAGTGCCAGAAATGCATATATATATATACAGTATAAATATGTTTTTTATATTGAAAGGATGATCACAAAATACAGATTGCTGCTGCATGTTTGACTTTTATCAAAGAAAGAGGATTTTTTAAGGATTACTGGTTGATTGATTCTTTGTTAGTGTTGGTAAGAATTGTTTGTTGTTCATTTTTTTTTCCCAAGGCACTGAATGTTTCTACAGTTGTGGTATTTTGAGGACAGAGAGTGTCTGGTCTAACAATCTTATTCAGAAGTTTACTGAGCTACTGGGATTTGTTCCA